TTTCCCTATAATTATTACAAATACACAAAATAAGTAAAAATAAGTATTTATATTTGTGTACAAGCTGTTCAGATTGTCAAAAAGCCTGTGTTTTTAGGGTTATTAACAAAGTTTGTGTACTCAGACCAGTAATATTTGGGGTCACAAGATTTTGCCATGGAAATTTTGTGGGTCAGAAGATAAAAAGTTTGGGAACCACTGATTTAAAGCATGGATTAATCTTCATTGAATGATTTATCTAGATTAACATTTCATAGAGACATAGAGTGCTGTGTGAATGGGTAAATAAGGCACTTTGAGAATCCTAGAAATGTGCTAAATAAACAGACCATTTACCATAAGGACTGGTCCGTGTCAACTCAACAGTTTTGTTTCAATCTAGCTTTAATCCTAAAAAGAATAAATTTCCTTTTCCTTCTACAAAAAGCTGATTTACTAAATTTAGTACAAATGCCCAAAATAAAAAGGCGTTAATATAGCTTTGATTATTATGTCTGCTGTGGGCCTTAGCCGCAAACCTTGATGTGACATATCCAGTCAGTAGCTACGTTTACATGGACATAAGTAATCGGATTAAACGGCCGTTCGGAATAAAAATGCGTCGTGTAAACAGCTCGTTTGGATTATTCTGATCCGAATGAATTTTTAATCCGAATGAAAGGGGTGGGTTATGCCGAGTGATAATCGGAATGACGTGCCTGTTCTGATTGTAGAAAACTGACCTGTGTGTGCATGTCTTCTGACTTTCTTTCATCCAGTTCTGCTGTTAGAGGAGGTGGGACAGCAGTGCTCCAGCTGCGCTGCACTGCGCAGAACTTTTCCTCCACGCTCTCTTAGCAGATGAAAAAGGAGGCAAACAGCAGACGTTGCTTCGCAAAAAAACAAAAAAACAAAAAAAAAAACGTATTGCTTCATCTGCAGCTCAACCAGGGAGTAACGACATCTCTACCGTTATTAAAAGCTGACACGGGTCCGTCCTGAGCGCACAGAGGAGCTTTGTTTACGTTTGTGTCACGGAAGTAGAGCTGAAAGTTTACAACACTGTGCATGTAAACACTTGTCATGATCGGATTGTGTCCATGTAAACAGTTCATTTGGATTATTTAATCCGAACACGTTTCAATCCGTTCAAAAAAATTTGTGCATGTAAACATAGCTATTGACAAAAGGATTAAATGGTCGTTCGGACTAAAAATGCGTCATGTAAACACGRCATTCAGATTATTCTGACCCGATTCAGCTCAATCCGAATGAATTTGTAATCGGAATGAGAGGTGGTTTATGCCCATTGATAATCTGAACAGCGTGCATGTAAACACTTAATCCGATTATTTTATTTTAATTGTGGAACACTGACCTGACTGTGAATGTCTGCTGACTTTCATCCACTGGTTTCTGCTCTTTTGTGGAGGGAGGGACAGCAGCGCTGTAGTTTCCAGCAGCACAGAACTTTTCCTCCCGTTCGCTCATCCAATAAAGAAGGAAGACACACAGCCTGCGCCGCTTCACAAAACAAAGTCTGCGCGTCACCAGCAGCTGAACCAGAGAGCAGTAACGTCTCCCTCATCATTAAAACCTGTCGCAGGTCCATTCTGAGCTCAGGAGCTGCTTGTTTATCTTCATGACGAAAGTAGAACTTTTTTTCTTTTTTTCTGATTATTTAATCTGAAAACATTTCGATCCGATCAAAGAATTTTGTGCATGTAAACATAGCTAATGAAAACAAACCGTTCAACCAAAAATGAGTCAAAACATATGAAAAGTTGCAAGTTTTGTTTTATTGTTCAACTGCAAATCAGACAAAAAATGTCATTACACTTACATTTAAACTGGCTGTTGTCCTCAATTAAAAATATTTAATGTTTTGTCTCTTTTACTTAATTTTATTCAGTAATAAACATATTTTTATGTGCTGGCCTTCGAAGCATTCTGAAAATGGTTACGATGGTCAGGCTTTTGAAAACCCTCTTTTTTTATTGTCCTGTCTCACCAGGAGTCGCTTCAGTTCCACCTGAGACCACATGGTGTCAGTGGTTGTCCATAGAACTCTTGTCCTGCCTGGATGTGGGTGGGGCCATCATAGCACGACCACTTGAAACTTGTATCCAAGGCAGACACAAGTGAAATAAAGTCGCAAAATACTCACCATCCACTGCTACGGTTTCCTAAATTGTGGCTGAGTCAACTCTGTCGCTTGGAGCCCTTAAATCCTGTGCATCTGTTTGAATTCTGTCATCGGACGACAAGCACAGAAACATCTGCGCTCCCTCATAGTGCCATGGTGTTAGTTTGTGTGCCATTTAATGAATATTCTTTATATTATTTTTAAAAAGTAAATGGCAAAAACGAATGCTGCGGCTATGAGTTTTTTAAAGAAAATGGTGTGTTTAATTCCTGTTAAGGAGATGCTTTTGTGGTTGACGTTGCTCTCTGGCCAATCAATGACCTGCAGTCTGCTGCAGTCAAATCTTCAGCTGGACTCGGCTGGAGCTTCAGCTGAGCAGGTACTAAGAACGAGCTGGAAGCAGTTGGGCTTATGAAAAGACTCTGAAGCTGCCGAGTTGACCAGAGTAGGACCAAATTAAGCCCATGGGGAAAGGTTATTATTGTTCTGATACTCAGGGTGCAAAGTGATAAACACTCAGAAATTCTCCATTGGAAGAGCCACTGCTTCATTTTTTAGGGGTGGTCATGGTCCCCCTGGCCCCCATATTTTTAAATACATTTATCATGAAGTATTTTTGCAGAAGAAAAATAACAAAATCTCAAAGGTGCAGCTGAAAACCTTTAAATGACTGTATAAATGGCTCTTTGTGTCAAACTGTTGCTAAGTTCATAGTTCAATTATTTATATACCGTATTTATTCAGTTATAATACGTAAAATTTAATCCATAAAATCATCCATAAAGTTGGGGGGTAGTACTATACTCGGATAAATATTTTTACTTATGTATTTTAACCGAAAAATCGGCTTCATTCACAAAATGCCTGAGTCCGGAAATGAGACCGTGTCGTAAAAAGCAGCTGAAGCGAGCTCACCTGTGACACTACGTCGTAACTCAGAGCGAGATAATAGATCCAGGCAGGCGACATGATGTGAAAAAATGGGGAAAAAAGCAGTCCTGCACCTTTAGTAATGAATACGAACTAATGACATTAGCGTGTGACCAGGCCGCTCCTCGAACAACAACAAACACATGTTCATCTGTAATGGCTGCCGTCTACCAGTGTTCTGAAAAAGTTTGTATCCCTGAAAAAAGTTTCCCCACCAGAGAGGGCGCTCGCCAGTAGGAAGTAATCTGCTTTTCCCCCACAAGATGGTCCAAATCTCATGTGAAGTCTCTGACTTTTGTGTTGGCGCCTCCTGGTGGACTATGTGTAAAATACCAGAATTCATATGATGCTGCTACAGCTGATATATATTTGTTGTCAAAATACCTTTTAGTACATATGTTGTTAAAATAAAATAAACAGTCCAATGATCATTTTACTGATATGTATAAAGACTGCAAAGGCTGAAAAATCTTGAAGTCTGTATGAAATTGGAGGTAGTTTGAGGATTAAATTTTTTATGCTTTTTAAGCTCAAAAAAGTGGGGGTCGTATTATACATGAATAAATACGGTAATTGTTTTTTCATCAAACAAGTGGAAAAAAAATCTGAGCTTTCAGATCAAAACCTACAATAGATTTTTATATGGAACATCTCAAAAACATCCAAATATGTTCTTGCTGTTATTTTCTTTTACAGAATTAGCTTTTCCATTTCAGGTGGTGTATTTGGCAAGCGAAACGTTTAACTACAGCGCGATAGACAGAGTGAAGTCTCGAGGAAAGAAGCTAGCTCTGGAGAAGGTGCCTAAAGTGGGTCAACGTTTCCACAGAATCGGACTACCACCCAAGGTAAAGTAACACAAAATGTTTCTGCACTAATCAGCTCATCTTCACTCAGTTATCTATAACTTAATGCTACCGTTCAATAGTACGTAAAACATTCATCCTTAAATATCAAACAAATAAATAAATGATGCTTTTTAACTCCAAGGAGTCATTTTGGACATTATTTTATTACGTATTAAATGTTATTCTCATTTTTCTTTTATTAAATGTTATTCTCATTTTTCTTTGGTAGTTGGTTTAATATTTGATCAACTTTGCTTCAAAAGTATCTTTTGTTACAGTGTTTAAAAACAGACCAACAGTACCAATACACTACATTAGTGCCAATAATATCTGAAGATGTACAAAGAGCAGGTCTCAGTGTGTAGCTGGTGTAAAAAAAAAAAAAAAATCTTGTAATTTATTCCTAATAATGAAATCTAATCGAGAGCAGAGCATACATTAACCATCTCTGTTCCTCCAGGTCGGCTCCTTCCAGCTCTTTGTTGACGGGTACAAGGATGCAGATTTTTGGCTGCGGAAGTTTGAAGCAGAGCCTCTGCCTGAAAACACCAATCGACAACTGCAGCTGCAGTTTGAACGACTCGTCGTCCTCGATTACATTATCAGAAACACTGGTAGGTAAAACCTTTCCAATAAACAAAAATAATATTTATTAAAACCTAAGTTTATTTAGTTGATGTTACATTTTTCTTTTAAAGTTGTCACTTGTGAATAAAAGGTTTGTTCTTCTGTGATCTAGACAGAGGAAATGACAACTGGCTGCTGAAGTACGACTGTCCCATGGATTCTGTTGGTAACAGGGTGAGGACACACACACACACACACACACACACAAATGCACACGTGCACACTCCTGTGCTAAATTAAGCACTCTTTTATTGGTTTTGAACACTAATCTGGCTAGGTTTTTTTAATATACTGTAACATGTTTTGTGAAAGAAAAATCCACTTCATATAAGTATTAGAGGATTAATCTTAGTCTGTTTTTCTGAATAATGTTTTGTGAAGAAAATAAATGATGTCAAAATGCTAAATTTATGATGGACTGTTATTTGTCAGTGAAGTTGATAATCTTTGAGTCAGATTTTGTGGGGAAAAAAAATAAAGATTGGAGAATATATTCACGTCATTCTTTAACAAGTTTCACAGCTGCCAGCCTAATGGCTCCTTGTAAGTGCACTGACCATACAAATAAGGCACCGGTAATAGTTTATTTTTATTTTTGCCTTATTTCTTTTTAATTGTATTACTAAACATTTTTTCCACATTTTTTATTTACTCTGTACATTGAGAATAACACTCAGGTGGAGATCTGTATTCAGTCCATCTCAGAGCCCTAGTGTCAACTCATAACCACTTAAGAGTCCTCTGGAGCAGTCTTAAATATCTGGGAGAGTAAGAGTGATTCTTAGACTGAATAATTTTTATAATTTGCTTTTATGCTTAAGTCAGAGAATAGGAGCAAATATAAGAAATTTTCAACACTTAAGTCTAAATTTCCACTCTAACCCTGGATTTACACTACATGCGTCTCCGCTGCGCTGCGCTGCGCAGTTTGCAGCTGTTTGTTTGTGCGCACAGAGGAGGGAGGGTGTCGGGAAGGTGTGTGCAGGAAGGAGATTGCGCGATAAATTCAGTGATAAGTGTGGAAGTCACAGCAAAAAGTAATTAATTCTGTGTAAGACGAACTCCAAACACAGCTGAAAACCTTGATATAAAAGCTTTTGATACCTAAGGTCGAAACTTTATCGCTGTCGCCTTTTTGAAACATTTGATTTCAAAATAAAATCCACTTGTATCGTGTGTGTACACATATGCTTCATGCTACATGTTTCCATCTGCTTCCCAAACAGAGCGATACATTCTGACAGCATATGTGTAGAAATACACTCACCGGCCACTTTATTAGGTACACCACACTAGTAACGGGTTGGACCCCCCTTTGCCTTCAGAACTGCCTCAATTCTTCGTGGCATAGATTCAACAAGGTGCTGGAAGCATTCCTCAGAGATTTTGGTCCATATTGACATGATGGCATTACACAGTTGCCGCAGATTTGTCGGCTGCACATCCATGATGCGAATCTCCCGTTCCACCACATCCCAAAGATGCTCTATTGGATTGAGATCTGGTGACTGTGGAGGCCATTTGAGTACAGTGAACTCATTGTCATGTTCAAGAAACCAGTCTGAGATGATTCCAGCTTTATGACATGGCACATTATCCTGCTGAAAGTAGCCATCAGATGTTGGGTACATTGTGGTCATAAAGGGATGGACATGGTCAGCAACAATACTCAGGTAGGCTGTGGCGTTGCAACGATGCTCAATTGGTACCAAGGGGCCCAAAGAGTGCCAAGAAAAGATTCCCCACACCATGACACCACCACCACCAGCCTGAACCGTTGATACAAGGCAGGATGGATCCATGCTTTCATGTTGTTGACGCCAAATTCTGACCCTACCATCCGAATGTCGCAGCAGAAATCGAGACTCATCAGACCAGGCAACGTTTTTCCAATCTTCTCTTGTCCAATTTCGATGAGCTTGTGCAAATTGTAGCCTCAGTTTCCTGTTCTTAGCTGAAAGGAGTGGCACCCGGTGTGGTCTTCTGCTGCTGAAGCCCATCTGCCTCAAAGTTCGACATGTTGTGTGTTCAGAGATGCTCTTCTGCCTACCTCGGTTGTAACGGGTGGTTATTTGAGTCACTGTTGCCTTTCTATCAGCTCGAACCAGTCTGCCCATTCTCCTCTGACCTCTGGCATCAACAAGGCATTTCCGCCCACAGGACTGCCGCTCACTGGATGTTTTTTCTTTTTTGGACCATTCTCTGTAAACCTTAGAGATGGTTGTGCGTGAAAATCCCAGTAGATCAGCAGTTTCTGAAATACTCAGACCAGCCCTTCTGGCACCAACAACCATGCCACGTTCAAAGGCACTCAAATCACCTTTCTTCCCCATACTGATGCTCGGTTTGAACTGCAGGAGATTGTCTTGACCATGTCTACATGCCTAAATGCACTGAGTTGCCGCCATGTGATTGGCTGATTAGAAATTAAGTGTTAACGAGCAGTTGGACAGGTGTACCTAATAAAGTGGCCGGTGAGTGTATATACATATATTGATTAATATAGCTGGGATTTCTACATTATTCCGACAAATTATTCCACCTAATAGGGTCTTATTTTGTAAATATGGATGTTGTGCTCTTTCCTCTTCCTGTTGGTGCGACGTAATCTTTAAAAATTGACTCCGGCGCAGCTCCGTCATGCGGCAGAAATAAGATCGGATCTAATTTTGATGGATCACAGTCCGCTCACCACCGCTGTGCGCAGCCAGTGTAAACACTCTCATTGATTAAAATGGGTGCGTATTTGCAGCGGAGCTTGAACCGGAGTGGAGCCGGAACGCATGTAGTGTAAATTAGGGGTTAGTAGTTTGATAAAAACAGGCCCAGAGCTCAATGAGATGCCATGACTCCCCTTAAAAAAGACATTGACCATTTCTAAAGTGCCAAGTGAAAACGTAATGCACCAGGAATTTAGACCACAAATTATGGTTCCGGTCCCAAATAATACATTACCAAAATAAAAAACTTGTTTTTTCCATTAAAATGAACAAAAAAAAAGTTAGGTGTTTTAATTGTTTTTTTTTTTCTAATTTACTTAAAAAAATAAAAAATTAAAACACCTGATTATTCTTTTTGTCTCATTTTATTTTGAAAAAACAAAAAGAGTGAATCTTACTTGGATTTGTGTGCCTGTTTTTATATTAAATGAGTCTTTTTCTCTCCAGGACACAGACTGGGTCGTAGTAAAGGAGCCGATCATCAAGTTAGCAGCCATAGACAACGGCCTCGCCTTCCCTCTCAAACACCCCGACTCCTGGAGAGCTTGTAAGAACTTATGTGATACCAACAGTGTTTGACTTGTGTTGATAGAAAGTGGATATTGTTAAGAAACTGATTCATTTTCTGATCCACAGACCCATTTTACTGGGCGTGGCTCCCTCAAGCCAAAGTTTCTTTCTCCGAGGAAATCAAAGATTTAGTTCTTCCCAAACTTTCGGACCCAAACTTCAATAAAGATCTTGAAGAGGACCTCTATGAACTATTTAAGGCAAGAGAAGCTTTATTGTAATAATTAACAATCCATTGTTAAAACAATAAATGACTAGTCTCTGTGACCGTAACATGCATGTCTTTATGTCTTACAGAAAGATCCTGGTTTTGACAGGGGACAGTTTCATAAACAACAGTCTGTCATGAGGGGCCAGGTGAGTCTGTTCTACACTGACCCATTAGAATCAGCACACAATGCAGCTGATCTCACTGCTTTACTGTGAACCGAACCCTTTCTCTCCTTAGATCCTGAACCTGACCCAAGCCATAAAGGACGGTAAATCCCCCCTCCAGCTGGTCCAGATGCCCCCGGTCATCGTTGAAACGGCTCGAGCCCCGCAGAGAGCGAACAGTGAATCCTACACGCAGAGTTTCCAAAGCAGAAAACCCTTCTTCACCTGGTGGTAGAAGCAGAGAGCCGCAGCCAGGAGAAGACCGAGGGTGATAGCACAGGGTTTTGTCCTGGAAGTAGTCCTCACCCACTGGCTTCTCCTCATGGTTCCGGTTAGTGGGTGCAGAGATGAGGCCAAAAGAGGAAGACGTTCACGACAAATCTTCCCTGTTTGCATCTGTGCCTTGTGCGAAAACGACTGAAGCTTCTGAGGTTCTGTTCCCTCCTGAGAGCGATATCTGTGAGACGACATATCCGTGCACTCCTGGGTGTTTGCTTACATACACATCAGTGAAAAGCCTCTCATACATTTCTTTTTTTTTAACAAGAAGTATTGCATTCCAAGTTTTTTTTTTTTTTGGTTTGTTTGTTTGTTTGTTAGACCCGTTATGACCAACAAAGAAACCCTATACTATGCAGTTAACATCCCCGGGCTGGTCAAAGCAGTGCCACTACGACAGATTTTTATTTATTTTTTATTAAAGAGAATATCTTTTATTGTGGTAAACACACAGATTTAGGCTCTAAGTGTTTTGTATTTCTTTGCAGTGTGAACACAATCTATGTGAACTGGTTTCACAGTGTGCATTACTTCTCTACACATCTATAAGGCACGAGGGGTGACGTTGCAAAGCCGAGGTACTTTTCATTAAAGAAGCCAACTATTAAAATCAGATCCATCGGACTTGTTTGCCTGATTTTGTCTTTTCCCACGAATAATTTCATTAATCAATGAAGCGGACATGAAGTACCGCAGCTGTGATTGAGCAGAGGAGGGGTTCTGTGGTTCCTACCTTGGCCATAATAATTTTACTTCTGTTTCAGGTTCTTGGGTGGACCTGAGTAAATGTACAGGATAAAGTAACTTTCTGCTGTGCTGAACTGACATGAAATGTAACGTGACAATGCACTGTATAATTGTAATATTTAATGATAGATTATAATTAAATATATTCAATTAATACAAACCCTTCGTGTTAGTGTTGTTTTGTTTGTTTGAAAAATCTTGTCCAAACCCAGACCCAAACCAGTGGTTATTCCGTATGTTGCGGGTGTTTCGGAGAAACAGACATTTATTTTCTAAACATGATGTCCCAGTGGCTTTCAAACCCCAAAACACATTACGGCAAAGGCTGGTTCACCCCAAAGATCCGGTGCCCCGGCACAAACAGAGCAAWGTTGTATATGCTGTTAAGTGCCAGGAGGACTGCGACCAGTTATACATCGGGGAAACAAAGCAACCACTATTCAAAAGAATGTCCCAACACAGACGAGCTACATCTAATGGCCAGAACTCTGCAGTTTTCACTCATTTACAGGCCAGCGGTCACTCTTTCAGAGATGAGGATGTTCTCATTCTTGATAGAGAGGAACGTTGGTTTGAGAGAGGAGTAAAAGAAGCCATTTTTGTGAAGAAAGACCGTCCATCATTAAACAGAGGTGGAGGCCTCCGTTTTCAGTTGTCCCCCTCCTACAGTGCTGCTATTGCCAGTATCACTCCACCCACTGTTAACAATAGGTGTTAATTAGGTGTCAACGATAGCCAGGTGATGTGAGTATCAGTCACATGGAGGCAGTGCTTAAAAGCCTGAATTTTGCCTGAAACTCTCAGACTGAAGAAGTCTCTTGGAGAAGAGACAAAACGTTTCATTAGAGAAGAACCCGTCCAGAAGACCTACACAATTTTTTTCTTTTTGATTTTTTACCTGGATTACTGAGATGCATCAGGACATTGTCCAAGGATATTACTCAGCTCTTTAAAGTGCCCATATAAGCTAAACTTAAAGAACTTGAAGGAATGCATATCGCTGCTGTTTACACCACAGTTTGAAACCAAAATTTTATTTTGAGAAATGATGGCGTTGAAGTTATGTGCAGCTTCATGTGATACCATGACACGGCTCCCAGAATACTGTGTGTTGTGAATGACAAGTGTATAGTATCAGTGGTGGATCTAGGATTTTTCAGTGTACGGGGCCATCAAGGGGCCGCAGTATTCACAGGGGGGCCAAGTATTTGTTCAACATGCTTGCACATAAATCCCAAGTTTTTGTAAGGTGTACAAATTAAATCAGTCACACGTGATCAGACACTTGTAAAACCCCGAACAGCAAATTCTCATCAGTTTTACATGAGTTTTACTGTACATAAATGAAATACTTTCAAACACACAAGATGTGAGAAAATCCAGCCATCGTTGTCAGTTAAAAAACTTTTTCTGCAGTATTATTCAAATTGAAAAAGACTTGTGTAAGCTTGCTTCATGCTGGACTTTTCTATTTGACTCATTATCGCCTCTACTGTTTGGAAGTGGAACTGCGGTCACTCTTGGCAGATGGGGCCAATGCCCCTGTGGCCCCTCCCCTAGAACCTCCCCTGAGAGATACCTTCCTCAAAGACAAAAACATTTTAGCCTTTTGGCTGTTTATTGATAGCAAATCACAGTTATAACAACCCACCTTATGCTTTATTATTTTATTATATTTTGATTTCATGGTTATGAGCTCATTTTCATTGGTTCTCTTTATTCTCAAACTCATATCTAGCTGTTTAAATTCAAAACTCACAGTTCAGCTACAAATTGCTAACACTGATTTCTTAACAACTTGCTGTGAAACATGTTTCATTTAGCTTGGAAATCCTCTCAGAACCCATGCGGCTTAGCTGATACATTTTCATTTTTGTAATTGAATCAAGATGCCCTTTGAACATTAAACAATAAAGGTAAAAGTTATTGCATGAATTCAACCAGTCATGGTATAAACCCCTAAAATATGTCTGAAAACATTAAAGTGTTTGACAAAACCGCAGTGTTCCACTGATGATTGCATGTAGTAATCCTGCAGTTTCAAGCTGAACCAACACACAACTGATTTTCAAACATTTCGTTTTCCTTGAAAAACCACTTGAGTGTTCTGGGGTCTACTATGAAGAGTGCATGGCAACAGACACTGTGCAAACCCAGGATATATACATTTCTTGCAGCTTTTCTGTGTGTGGCGTTCAGTGGAGGATGCGGTGTAAGTAGCGTTCAGAGTCTCTGGAACTCTCCAGCCTCACGCCCACCCTCCATGAAGCTGATTTGAAGGGGTTTTGTATCTCTGGAACGTCCTCTTCTGTGGTCGGCTGCTCAAATTCTTCCAGACTTTGTGTCAAATTGTCCTCAACAGCGAAGGCAACTGAAGGCTCTTCAACCCTAAAGACAAGAACAGAAATTTGCCTAAGATTAAAAACTATCACCAACCCTTTATTAAGCTGCAGTTTGAACATAATAACTAATAGTTTCACATCAAAATGCTGGTGTAGGTGGATCCACAATAGCATAACATATAAGATAAATATTATTGAACAGTTATGACATTTCCTTAACTGTGCGTATTGTTTTAGAAAGCTCCTGTGCAGGGGCACAACCAGGGGGTGGCTAGAGGGACAAGGGGCACCCCTGTACATTTGCTGCCCACCCTTGACCTGACGGTCTTTTGTCCTGAGCCCTGAGCTTTGGTTTTCATTGGATTTTTAACTTCCCATAGATTTTTGGGATTAGTAGAATGCCATAAACACTGAAAAACCTTGTTTTTGAACAATCAATAGTTAAAAGGATTAAATTATTTTCTTAAATTGAAATATTTAAATAAGAAAAAGAACTTAAGTTATTCTGCCTGATGACAGACATCATGTCTCTAAGTTGAACAGAATAAAATAGTGTGTTGCAAAAAACCAATGTCCTCAGGACCCTAGTAGGTGGTGAGGGGTACACCACCTATTAGGTTTATTTGTAGTCAGGTCGAGGAGGCAACAGGTCCAGGAGAGAGACCCAGACATCCCTCTCCCCAGCGACACTATCCAGCTCATCCTGGGGGACCCTGAGGCTTTCCCAGGCCAGAGAGGATCCATAATCCCTCCAGTGAGTCCTGGGTCTTCATGCCTCCTACCAGTGGGTGTGCCTGGAACTCCTCTAAAGGGAGGCATACAGGAACCCCCTCAACAGACTTGTTTTGATGGATAGGAGCAGCGGCTCTACTCTGAGCCTCCCCCCCCCCCCAATGACAGAGCTTTTCACAGAATCTTTAAGGCTGAACCCGGCCACCCTATGAAGAAAGCTCATTTTGGCCACTTGTGCTTTTGGTCATGATCCACACCTCATGACCACAGGTGAGGGTTGGAACATAGTAAATCCAGGGCTTTGCTTTTCGATTAAACTTTTTAATCAACACCACTGCAACACCCTCATTACTGAGGACGGGGTCCCAATCCGTCGATCCATCTCTCGCTCCGTCCTACCATCACTCACGAACAAGACACCCAGGTACTTAAACCCTTCCACTTGAGGCAGAGACTCTCCCTCGACCCAGACGGGCCATCCCACGCTTTTCTGGTGCAGAAATGTATGCATATAAATAAGTACAAATTCAAAAGAAAACACGCTTCAGTGAGTTAAATAGTGGCCGTGCTGTTCTCAGTTACTAATTTTAGTTAAAAACATGTAAATTTACATCAAAAAGTGATTCCTTTACTTCACTGTTGCAGCTTTTTTCCCCCTACATTCATTTCTAGCTCCCATCTGGCCCCCCTCCATATCTACTAGAGGTGCCCATGCCCCTGTGCAGCTGTTTACAGCAGTGACTTTGTCAAATATCTGCAAGGGCTTTCAGTTTAATCTGATCTGATTCAGTCTACTGCTCCATGCTCTGATGTCAGCTTGATGAGAAAGAAAACTCCCACGTGTGTGTGATTTTAACCAACTTGTGTGTTTGTACAAAACTGCAGAACGTTTACTGAGTCTGTACCAAACCAGGCTGACCACAGCACATTTGTGCGGAGCCCGCAAGGGGGCACGGGAGATTATTTTTCTTTTGCGTTCCCACGCAATATTATTTACCTCGAAAAAGTAGTTTATCACTATTGTGCCTGCTGTTTTATTAACAAACTCACATGTTTACCATTAGCGAGTTAGCCTACTGCTTTAATTCAGCTTCAGAATGAATATATCACACAGCCACGCATGGAAGTATGTCATATGCTGATATTTTAACAGTGCAGCCACGCAACATCAATGTCAATTTCATGAACTTGTGGCGAAACATCCTGTTTTCGTAACCGGATATTTCAAAATAAAAGTCTGATTTAATTCAGTTCATATTCAAAACAAACTTTTGCGTGGGAACGCAAAACAATATTGCGAGGTAACGCAAAAGTATTTCTATGTAATGCAAAAGTATTGCAAGGGACCGCAAAGGTATTGCTTGGGAATGCAAAACAATATTGCGAGGGAACGCAAAGGTATTGCAAGGGAACGCAAAGGTATTGCGAGGGAACACAAAGGTATTGTGAGGGAACGCAAAACAATATTGCGGGGGACACAAAGGTATTGTGAGGGAACGCAAAGGTATTGTGTGGGAATGCAAAAGTATTGCGAGGTAACGCAAAAGTATTGCGAGGTAATGCAAANGTATTGCGAGGGAACGCAAAGGTATTGTGAGGGAACGCAAAACAATATTGCGAGGGAACGCAAAGGTATTGTGTGGGAATGCAAAGCAATATTGCGAGGGAACGCAAAAGTATTGCGATGTAATACAAAAGTATTGCGAGGTAACGCAAAAGTATTGCGAGGTAACGCAAAAGTATTGCGAGGTAACGCAAAGGTATTGCGTGGGAACGCAAAAAAGTATTGCGAGGTAACGCAAAGGTATTGCGTGGGAACGCAAAACAATATTGCGAGGGAACGCAAAGGTAAACGCAAAAGTATTGTGAGGTAATGCAAAAATATTGCGAGGTAACGCAAAAGTATTGCGAGGTAACGCAAAAGTATTGCGAAGGAACGCAAAGGTATTGCGAGGGAATGTAAAAATATTGCGAGGTAACGCAAAAGTATTGCGAGGTAACGCAAAAGGAAAAAAATCCCCCATGTCCCCTCGCGGGCGCCGTACATTTGGCACAGTTGTACCACTTTGTAAACTCACAAATCCATTACTGTGTTGCTCAGTGGGGAGTGTGGGACAGTTTGTGAATGTCTGCAGGAATATGAGGACACGGTATGGAGGATCTTTACGATTTTATCACTCATTTAACAAAAACCACATGAAGTCTGGAGCAATTCTACAATAAGACGTTACCTGATGAACCCCGATGCTCTGAGTATCTTGTGGTCACTGTGTCCTTCTGACCTTAGTCCGGTCTTATTTCTTGCTCGAACTCTGAGCCCCACCAAGGCCTGTGCCAGGCCTGCTTCATCCTCCCGTTCCTCTCCCTCCTTCTGCTGTCCCTCCTCTTCTCCTTCCATATCTGCCTCCATCTCCTGGCACACCAGCTTGGCCCGGTGCTCAGCGTTTCTGTCGCCTGCTGTTCTGAACAGCCTGTGCAGCTGATGCAGGTTCACTCCTGAAAAGATGTTGGAACAGCCAGACTTCCTGCTGTGTCTGCTGGAAGGTTTCCACTGTGTGAGCATACTGTCCTCTGCAGAGCTGAAATCCAGGGCCTCTGCCATGAAAGTCACAAAGTTTTTCTTCTGTAAACGGATAGAACAAATTCATTTTTGAGGGAAAATTGGTTAAGCACAAAGAAAGATTTGACTTGGCAAAGATTCTTGCTTTAACACAGCAGTGACACACGCTGCACTATCTGAGATGAAAAGACTAAATGTTTAATTAGTGTTAAATAAAAAACACTAACTCAATACTGTCTAAAAAGCTTGATTTGAGTCTAATTGAAAAACCAAAGAGTGGTTTAGTTATACTGCTTACCTTCTGTAGTTTGAATGAAACAGTCTCTAACTCTACTCGCAGACAGAGCCTGATTACTGAAGCAGCATTTAGACTGAAACCTTCACACCGCCTAATGCTGAGCTGACCCACTTCTAACTGCAGCGTCATGAGGAGCGCAGAGCTACAGGGGGGAAGGTCTCATCAAAGAGTAATCCAGGAATGACGTCAAGGCCAAAGTGTTTACCTCAGAGACAAGAGAAAAACAAAAATATCAACAAAAAGAACACACTTAAATAGTAAAACAATAAGCAAGAAAAAAACAAATGACATCCATATGTATAATCATTTGTCTATTACTATAGATAATAAAACGTACCTTTTATTAAGTACAACAATATGGATGAATGAAATAGAGTGCAGCAGAGTGTTTATTCAGAAACCATGAACACATCACCTTAGGTTATGTTTATCAAATGAAATTTAGCAGAATTTAGCAAAATTCTGGATGCGTTTGAAACAGGTCCACTGCCAAGCTGTACTTCAGCACTGAATGTGACTTTGACTCGTTTGATGCATACAACAGATGAACCTGTGCAAAAGTACAAATATCCATATTTAGAGGTAACTGTTGAACTTTTAGCTCTTTATGACGGTGGGTAATTAGCTCCTCTACTTCTGAGTATTGTGAGTCAGGGCTGGTATAGGCAGTATAGGTAAATGCTAAGGGCAAATTATATAAATATATATATATATATATATACAAGTGCTGGGCACGTTAATGCGTTATCACATTAAAGCAGCCGACAATTAACGGCGATAAATTTTTTAACGCACATTAACGCTGTTTCTTTATATTTCTTTGTCTGATCTCCGTTCTTTGTGTTGCCCGGGAAGACGCGCACACACAGACACACACAAACCCAGTGGTCGCCGCGGAAAGGAGGGATCTTGATCACTGTTGGCTTTAGATAGCCTTCATCGTGCTTCTCATCCAATGAGAGCCTTTTTGTTGAGCGTGCAGCCGAGGAGGTAACATGCCTGAAGCTGTCAGACTCTTCAGGGCATTTTTTATTTTAAAACTTTTCCCAACGGTGGGCTGGAAGGAAATAAAGTTCTCTATTAGCACTGCACAGCTAAACTCTCACCACCGAAGCAGTTCGAGCCCAGAATATCACTTCAGTTTAAAACCAGGGTAAACAAACAGAGGCTGACCAACGTGTGGGAGGAAAAGGAAAAAGCGAGACCGGCTTGTTTTGCCTTATTTGTTTAAAGTTTTTGAAAATGTATTGTTCATTTTTTATGTAAAACAGTACCTAAAACGCTCTAAACATATTTGAGTCAGTTAAGTTTTGTACAGAATAATAAAATTAAATTCAAAGTTTTTTTGTCGTTCCAAATGAGTGAGGAAAGAAAGATAGATGAGGCCCCAGTTGTCAGGAAAAAATACAACAATAAGAAGTTAAAATGAAAAAGAAAAGAAAAACTGAAGTGTCACACATGTATTGCAACATACAATTGTAGACATCCAGTGATCGTTTCTAAAACAAAATAATTGAGATTAATCGCAATTAATCGCAAAAATATTTTGAGATTAATCACGATTAAAATTTTAGTCTATGCCCAGCTCTATTTATAATCATTTATAACCTCAAAATGAGTCAGATCCTACACAGCACAGCATGCTTGGAAAAGTATATCTTCAATTCTCTGGAATCAAACTTTGTTTTCTTTATTTTTTTGTTTTTGTTTCAGTAGAGAACGATTTCCTTCTGCTAACTTTGTTTTATTCACAAGACAAACTCTCTGGCTGAATGTTAACTGACAGTATGTGTACATCTGCAACTTTTAAAAATGTAAATCTTTTTAAATGTGATTACTTTGGCTAAAACTGCCCAGGAGTGCTGTGTACAGGGAACAGGAAGGGAGTTTGAGGTTAACAGCAAAAGTTCAGGGTGAAAGACTAATAAAGCCCTAAGTCTGGTACACAAGGAGGAAACTGGTTAAAAAGAAAATAGGATCAACTGAGGAGTCGTCAAACTGAGAGCTGAAAGTAGCCACACACAGAAAGACCTGAGCATGTCTTAATCCCACAGCAAGAGGCCAAATGGCCAGATTAAGACTAGCTGGTGGATGAGATGAAGTGGACCTGAGAAACAGGTCTTACACCAGCAGGTCAAACTTAAAGAAAGTAAAAAAGTTCGTCAACTATATTTTTATATATTAACACCATTATTTTAGAGAAAAATTATAATATAATATAATATAATATA